GCTAACTGACTCTTGTGTGCTGCCCCGCCCTGACTAAGGGCCTGGGCTACTGACTTTGGGTTTTGCTGCCCGCCCTGACTAAGGGCCTGGGCTAACTGACTCTTGGTTGCTGCCCCGCCCTGACTAAGGGCCTGGGCCACCTAACTGTGATTGCTCAGCTCCTGAGGAAAGGACTGAGCCCTAAGACTGTGTTCTTGCCCGACCCTGAGGCAAGGACTGGCGCCCAAAACCCCTAACCCTACGTGTTAGGTGCCCCGCCCTGACTGAGGGCCGGGCTTAGCTAGTCGCGGCACTGGCTCAGCCTGCAGGGAGGCTCTGAGCCCCTCGGACCCTCGTGTGTGGCCCCGCACTGAGCTAGCGCTTGGGGCCTGTTTAACCTTGTGCTTGTGTTTAGCCCCTGCCTGAGGGGCGGAGCCCCAAGACTTTCGGATCCCGAGGATCGATTTGGGGCCACCGAGTGACTCGGCCTGGCTCCCGACGGCCCCTGAGAGGGCCCAGCTCCCGCACCGGACCATTACAACAACCTAGCAACATTTATACAATAGTCACAGCAATGACTTTTCCCTTGGAAAAGCTGGGATGGCATCGTTAAGCCCAAGATCTGAGTCCAGAAATTAAAACGGTGCTAGACTTTGTTTCCCTGAGATTGGGTTGTCTATGGGAGTAAAAAGAGAAACTAAATTCAGAAACAATGGCATTTTTCTTCCCTCCTCTCTACTCCCAAATTCTAATAGTAGGGTCTGCAACTAGACATTCAATTTTCTGTTCTAGGCTATTTTGAGTTTAGTCACCAGGAAAATGTAGCAACGTACTGCATTTTAAATGTTTTCTCCCATTTCCCAGAATGCATTCATCTCCCCCCAATGAATGTGTCTTGGTAGACTATGCCATTGTGAAAGACACGGAAAGGGTGACCTAGCACAAAGGGGCACCTCAACAGCTTCCTAGTTGATTGGGCACTTTAATGGCTCCTCATGGCTTCAAAGGACATTTTATTCTAAGGGCTGGGCTCCCAATGCTGTGCAGCAGGGATCGATTTAGCGGGTCTAGTGAAGACTTGCTAAAGTGTCTCACATCGACTCAGCGCTGTGAAGACACTGGGGTAAGTTGACCTAAGCTACATCGACTGCAGCTATGTTATTCACGTAGCTGGAGTAGCGTAACTTAGGACGACTTACCCCCATAGTGAAGACAAGCCCTAATTTTAGTCTGAGTGCACGTCCACTAGAACAGCAGGGTTTGCTGTTCCCTTGGATGTTTGCTTCAGTCCTATTTGAGAGTAATGAATCAATTGTAACAGCTACAGGGAACAAAGTCACAAATATGTGAATGATATAATCCTAGCACCAAAATGGCAAAAACCATAAATAACATCAATTCAAAGTCTCTAAGGAAAAATGAATACAGAACTGTACTTACATCGTCAAAGGGATCCTGCTGTGTTCATTTGATCTGTATTGCTTCTTGCATCACTATTTATATTGCTAAGCAGTACTCAGATGAATTTCCACTATTACACATTAAACAGGTTAAAGAAAAACGATCAGTGAGAGCACAGAGTAAATACTGATGGCCTGAAGGGGACTGAACCTGGGTGAGTGCCCTAGTCACTGGGGTAAAAGTTATAAGGGGAAGGACTATTTCTCTTTTGGCTGCTTTGTGAATCATGAATGGCACCAAACGTAAGGCACTAGAACCTGGATCTTAAGAGCCTGGGGACAGTTGATGTTCCCACACCAGTAAGAGGCCATGCAAAGCAACATCCATGGAGCAATGTGGAGATTAGGTGCCATAGGAAGTACCACCCAAAGGGTCCAGAGGGACAGCACCCTGTGACCCTCTGATTGGCCCATGTGCACTATTTAACCCTGAAGGGTGCCCAAGGAAGCTGTCTGGGCAGCCACATACACTTCTGACTTGCTGTGACTTCAGACTGCACCTTGCTTTCTGATCTCTGTCTTCTGACCCCAGCCTGACTCTGGCCCCTTGATTCCAGCCTGGTTGTGCCTCTGATCTCCAGTCGCCGACCCCGGCCTCATGCTGACCCTGACACATGCTTATCAATCCTGGTGATTACGCCAATCCTTGCTCACTGTCTATTGCCTCAGGGCTGTCCTTGACTTGTGGACACCAGCTCAGCAGTGACCATTAGGCCAGACCACCTTTACCCCACTCCCTTATACCAAAGTCCCCTTGTGAATCCAGCCTGGAAAAAAACCCTCAAGCCTATTAGGTGAAGGTGTGTAAAATTCACAAATAGTTTTATAGGCTGCAACTGCATTTTTCAGCAAATAAACTATTCATCCGAAAAAAAATTATCCACCTTTATTGATAGCTTTCTGGTGTTAGGGTGGCCAGACAAAGTACAATGTTCTGATATAAGTGTGGGCTCAACATATCATCTCCTTCATTAAAGATGTGATGCATGCATGTTACATTTCCATTCTTCTCAATGTATGCAGGAGGGAGGCAGCAAAGGTTTGGGAGGGGTGGGGGTTATAGTCATGAGAAAGCCTTTTGTAGTATTTTCTGTGTTTCAACCAGTGGGATAAGCAGCCAGGATGATGTATGTGGACAATATGTTATAAATTGGAATAACATATTTTAATGTTTGTCTTGATCGAGCATTCTCCCCCAATCTACAGACAAGCATCTATCAACCCCAGACAAAAGATTCCTCTTTCTGAGTGACTTCTCCCATTTGAGCAGTTTCCTTCAACAGAGCACCCTCCACCTACTTCCTTCTTCCTTCTTCCAGCAGAGAGAATAATGCAGCAGCATTTCCCTTTAAATGTATTTGTATCCACCAGCAAAGCAATTTCTCATCATAGTGATCTTCATACCACCCTATTTCACTTTAACAGATGTATTCCTATTAACCAACCAAACAACAACAACAAACCCTCTTCTTTGGTCAAATTTGGATGAAATGTTTTTTCCCGGTGGGCTTCTGATAAAAAAGGAAGAAAAGACTATTGAGTGCTCGTGGGAAAGGGAGTTATTAGTATAAATCGAACTAAGCCCATAGTTGGAGGTTTAAATGAACTTGAAGCTAATTTTCACAAGGGGATTTTTTATCTGCAACATGCTAGCCAGCCTATTGGCAGCAGCATCTCTGATGCATTAGGATTCGGTATAAATCTTTGTGAGTTACAATGAAACGTCAAATGAACAAATATCATCTGGTTTCTCTAAAACTATTATTTTGAGTGAAACAAATGCCCTTTAGTAAATATTTATACTGCTATTAAATTGGAGATGCCAAATTTGCCAAAAACTGCTACGGATCACATGATGGTAACTACAAATGTATAGTAGTTAATAAAGCAAACATTTTCTTCATGCTTCCTATCACGAGGAGCGAATAGACACAGACCCATGGTGGGGTAGTATCGAACTGCACTGGTGTAGAGGAGCTCTTGGAGAGACATTGTGCATCTCTGAGGCAGAAATGGTCCCTGGTCTCCAGGGGCCATGGGAGTAGCATGAATCCTTTGCAATGCTGCAATGTCTGTTCAGCAAGGTCCACCCGCCAGCACTTCACCTACCTGCCCTTGATCAGTCAGTCTCACTTCTTCGGTATTTCAGATCTCATAAAATTACTGGTTCTTCAGTTGACCGTAGCCTTGCACAAAAGGAAAAGCCTGAATTTCTAATGTAAAAGGCATACTAGAAAAAGAACATTTTAAAAGCAAATTGTTAAACAAAAAAACCCTCATGCCTTCATTATATTTACTAAAGAAGGAAAATGGAGCCTATTTTTCAAAATCCTTTGCATGGCCCCTCTGTGCTTTACCTTGTTTCAATGAACAAGGTAAATATAGTTATCTCCATTTTACAGATAAGAATACAGAAGCACAGGGCAAACTTTGGGGACATTCCCAAGGTCACAATGGAGCTCTGTGATACAACTGGCCCACCCCATGCTTCAAGTCACAAGACCATCCTTCCCATCCCAAGTTGGTTGCAACATGGAACACTAGCAGGGCAATGTGACAGTCTGGCCGTGAAGTTTAGTGTTGGTGAAATAGATACGCACCTGGTCATTTGATTTTTCATCTCTTTTTTGCTGTATAGAGGAAGAGTCAAAATAAACATGTGCTATCCTTACAGAAAGACTTTCCAGATGGGATCAGTCTCCAATTAGGTGAGCTTACAGGCCAAACCTCTTATTGTTTGTATTATGCTAGCACTTACACAGCAACTAGACACCTGTGGCTAGCCCGTGCCAGCCGAGTGGGGCTCTGGGGCTTGGAGCGGGGCTGTTTCATTGCTGTGTAGACTTCTGGGCTTGGGCTCCAGCCCAAGCTCTGGGACCCTCCTACTCTCAGGGTCCTAAAGCCCAGGCTCCAGCCTGTGCCTGGAAGCCTACACAGCAATGAAATAGCCCTGCAGCCCGAGCCCCATGAGCCTAAGTTGGCTGGCCTGGGCCAGCCCTGTGTGTCTAGTTGCTGTGCAGATATACCCTAAGAGGTCTCAGGCAAGATTGGAGCACCATTATGCAAGATGCTATACATACAAATCATAAGAGAAAGTTCCTATGCTGAGGAATTTACAGCCTAAATAGGCAAGACAGATAAAGGAAGGATTATTATCCTCATTGTACAGCTATGGATCTGAGACACACAAAGAGATTAAGTGACTTGCCCAATTTATACAGGGAGACTGGCACAGCTGGGAACCAAACCCAGATTTCTTATATCCCAACCCGGTGCCTTAATTATAGGACCATCCTTCTCTCTAATTACGTTCTTTTATTAAAAGACAAATGACAGCGTCCTTCCCCCTAGGTCTCAGTCAGGAATCCAAAACTTGTAATTGCTATAAAATGTGTGCGTGGATAACATGCATGTATAGTTAACAAGCACCATGACAGTGAGTGGCTCAAGATCCTCAATTAACTCACTATTTTTCCATTGCTTTTTTTCTCTGGGTGATTACTGATCTATTGCTCAGCTTGTGGGGATTCTTGATGTCACTAGAAAAAAGGAGACATAGGTTCTATTCTTGGCCAGAAGTCTGCTGAGAGACCTTGAGCAAGTCGCTTCACCTTTCCGTGGCTCAGTTTCCCCATCTGTAAAATGGGGGAAAAGATACTAAATTTGTCAAGTGCTTTGAGAGCCATTGATGAAAAGTGCTATATGAGAGCTAGATATTATCATCATTATTATTCCTAAAAGCTTTTGTCATCATCTAATAAACTCCTTAGTGGCTGCAGTTACTGCACTACAAAAAGGGCATTTCCCATTGTCAGCTGGATCTCACTGTCAGGATCGTTTAGCACATGTGGGAGATGAAAACCTTCAGCATCTCCTTCTTTGAATCTCTGTCAGCTTAGAGGTGAGTTCTTCCAGAATCTGCCTTTGGGCTTGTCTTCACTATCATGCTATATCAGCGCAGCTGCATCGGCTGCAGCTGTGCCGATGTAGTGCATCTGGTGAAGACGCGCTATGTTGACGGGAGAGTTCTCTCCCTTCGATGTAATTACTCCACCTCAATGAGAGGCGGAAGCTATGTCGACAGGAGAGCGTCTCCCACTGACATAGTGCGGTGTAGACACCGCTTTAACTTGATGTAACTCACGTCACTCATGGGGGTGGCCTTTTCACACCCCTGAGCGACGTAAATTACATCAACTTAAGCGGTAGTGTAGACAAGAGTGGCAGATTTATCATCAGCATTGCAAAGGCAGCAGAGATGATCACAAGAAAGAAGAAAATATTTTTGTCTGATGCATTTGCAGAAATCTGCTTGTAGAATATAAATGCAAAGTCAGCATTACCAGGAGCTATTTTGAGAAGACCATGTCACCATGCACATTATCTATTTCAATCTGGGTATCACCTTCGGTGTGACTGGTATCTTCACAATCATCATGGCCTTTGAGGGGACCGGGCTGGGGATGACTATGGCCGACCGCATGTAGCCCAGGAAGTAACAAACAAAGCCAGAGGGTAGGTTTCATCTTCCTTAGGAATTTATTCTGGAAAATGAAAGTGCCATTAAATCTGCAGAAATTAGTAATGCCTTAGTTAGTAAACAGTTATTATAGTTTAGTACATAGCATTATTCATCATAAATAACAGAGGAAAATATTTTAAAAACAATTAACTGTCATGTCCTACTTAGTATTTCTGACAGCATGAAATGGGGAAAATTAATCCCATCAATAAACAAATGAATTGAATTTGATTATATCATAATTCTCTATAACATAAGTACAGGTCCCAGTTTCACTGATTTTCCACGGTGGAAAAGCTGGAAATACGGGGTTGCATCCCAAAGGCCAGTGCTAATCATTACCCACAACTTTAAATCCCTTTCCAGGTTTTGTTTACTAATCCCTTAGATGTAATCAAAATACATGATTTCAAAACCCTCAGTGAAAAGTTCTTACCATCCATCTGAGCTGTTCCTTTTTCCATTATTTATATGTTCTGAAAAGTATGGAGCCGAATGCCCACTTTTAAAATACTCAACTGAGAAAATCAAACTGAGCAGAGAGGATGCAAAGCAAACAATGCCG